AAACCACAATGTATGTGTGACCTTGATAATGATTTTTTCCTACACACAACTAATGGCAAAATGTGTGATATATTTGCAGTGTCACTGTGGATATCTGCATTCAGATTCTGAACAGACTGTGTCATTGTCAGGAAAAAAGTGCTCTTTTCTGACTCCGTTGGTTAAAAAAGCTCCTCTCTCCTATTAATTTGGGGTTTCCAAGCAATCACTACATTTGCAGTTAAGACAGGAATGAAGACCTTCCACCCAGCAGCTCAGATCACAAGGTGTGCTTGCCCTTTGTGCTGTTAAAATTTACATCAGGTTCCCTCCTTTTTGCTGCCCTCCTTTTCAAAAGTTCTTGTAGTCTCTATGGACCGTGTCAACAGGAATGATTATGATGAACTCAGGCAGTTCCATTGTGCGGGGGTAACGGAGTTCTTACCACCAGGAATGAGAGTGGGTGTGCAGAAAGAAGGTATGTTTCCCAGTAAGAAACTCCCTCTAGAGTTTATTTTCTGTTTGTAAATCATTCAGACATTTTGAGGAAAACAAAAGGTATACGTGGGAGCAGAGGAAAATAGAGTTGTGCCTGGTTAAAAATTCTTTAACTGAGATGCTCTTACACTTGTATGCTTTGAATACAATAACTTGAATAAACGTCAATAACTTTGAATAACTTGAGGCCACATACTGGATGTTGAGAGTAAAAGGAATGTTCAATGGCTACTCATTCAGTGACCGTCTTATTTTATTCCTGTGCTTGATATTCAGAGTATTTTCAGCATATTGAATGAAGCAATGACTATTTCAGAAGTGCAGTTGTGCAATAATACAATATGGCACATACAGAAAGGAAGAGTGAATAAGGGTTAGGTAAGAAACTTTATATTGCCATGTTTTGCAATTCTAATGTTATTCAAAATGTTTTACTATAGAAAATACTGCTAGAGCTGCAAGTTTTCCATACAATTAGAAAACCAATAACTTTCCAAGTAGTCACTTTTAAAAAACAATGATCATTTTAAAAATATATAATATATAATATATAATATATAGTATATAATATATAAAAATATATAATTTAATCACCTTTTAATCATAGTTACCTCCCTTGTTTTCTTTCATGAATTCTGAGGAAGTGATTTAATCTTGCTGTGACGTTATAGTTATTGCAGCAGATATTTCCTAGTTTTTTTGGGGGGGGTTATTTCTTTATAAAGAGAGTAACAATAGACAAAATTAATGTGTGAAAATTTTGATAGAAATTAGAAATAGTTCAAATATAAAAAGATACCTAAGCATTTTACACAGAGAATCTATTTTTTCATCTGTAGCTAGATACAAAATTCTTACTTCTCATGGCTGCACATACAGGCAGTTCAGTCAGAGCCTTTAAAAAAAACAGTGCACATCATTTATTGGATCAGAGTCGGGAGCCTGAGGAATGACCAGTAAACAAAAACCTGTAAATTTTTCAGTGGTAGTTGAGAAGCCCTAGGCCTGTAGTGATATAATTAAATATTCCCCCCACTCAGCCTAATATGTACAGGGTGCTTGGAAGAAGCTGTTGATACAGTACAAGTAAAGGAAACTATGAATAGTGCATAGCAAAAGTAGTTAGATACTATGATGCAATTAGATATTTTCGATATTAAATTATGCTGAGCCTGCACCATCTCTGTTTAGAAAACAGACAATCTAGGGCAAAGATTTTGACCTTGTTTTTTCCAGTGCTGAGAATAGATTGGTTTATGTTGGCTTGGTCTTGGTCTTTAGTTCTACGATGTCTGACTAAATTATTAGCTGATTTACATGAGCTTCCCATCCTACTCTGGTGTCATTGGTTCTTAGGGTTTTAAATATTAAACAAAGAGAAGATTCTCTACATGTTTTCCTGGATCCTTCTCCTTTAAGGATAATAAGGTTTCTGTGAGGTCCTGAACTATATTTATTATATTTACATTTATGATATAATCACTTTGATTGAAATGGTCATTATGTGCAGCACACTGAGTCACCTGATAGAGAAGTCAAAGGTTGTGAATTCAGTTGGTTTGTTATTCCCACTGTGTTGCTTAATCCCTCCTGATGCAGGATGCTTCTTCTATTAACTCCTGCCAGTCCTAGCTCTGTGAACAGGTATGTTCTGAACAGGTAGCAGGGCTGATGTCCTTCGTTTTGAGTCCTAATGAGGTCCAATGATAACTGGCAATTAATATCTTTAATTAATATCTTTAGACAAATATTTTGGAGCCTTTGTCCTACACAGGATCTATCTATAATCTTCCTTTTCCTTGTGGGATGGCCATAGGAAGAGGATTACTGAGGTAAAATTTAAACCAGAGGAGAATATTTGATACTGGAACGCCTGAATGGATATTTGAATGTTAATATTTGGTATTAACATTCGGCATGCATGTGTATTTACCCAGATAAGATTTACAAGATGTGATCTGACCAGACGACGTACAGAGCTATGGGGACATGCAGATGTGAGCTGCCAACCTTGCGTTCAACTTGATAACCCAAAACTTGGGAGGAGAAGAGCCAGAGGTAGCAGGAGCTGGAAGCACCGGCTTGATTCAAAGTCTTGTTGGTACCTCAAGCAGTAGTGATGGTAGGAGAGGTCACTGGAATGAGTATTTGAATAGTGGTTAGTTGCAATGTGTCCATTCTGGAAGGCAAAAAGGAGTACATGGAAAAAAAAAATCCAGTCAGAAGTCATCATTCTTGTAACCAGATAATGGTAATTACATGGCTGCACATTTTTTCCAAGGCCTGTCAGGAAGAAAGATGGGAAAAAATATTCTTGTTAGGGCTAGATAGCTTCCTTTCAGTCAGCAACTAGTCCTGTGTGAGCTGTGAGATAACAGGAATGGAAGATCATGGGATGATTTTTCAGGAATTCCTTTTAGAGTTTTTCATTCTTGACCAATCCTAGTTAGATCTTGAGGGGAAAACAAATTTTTATGAGTTAAGGGGAAAAAAAGGAGACAGAAGGAGGAACACCACCACCACCACCCTCTCCCTGACCTACTGATAAGGTCCATTTTATCAGCTTTCTTTACTCTGAATAAGCATTTACAAAATAGACACAACAGCTGTATAACCTGATAGGGCTCAGGATCTGCAGGTTTGGGACACTGGGTCACAGGGTGAAAGGGAAGGGAAGTTGTTGCAGTCACACTGGCCTCTAGGTCCCTGCGTGGAAGCGGGGGCACCTGCAGGGTGCACGAGTCCCTCCATGCGACACTAGCCAAGTGCTGCCCTCAAGTGCTCCATCCAGCAGAGACTAATGAGCAGAACAGGCAGGATCCTGGGATCCCTGCCTGGGATCAAAGGGTTCTTGAGCTCTCACATGCACGTCTGACTCAGACCAAGTCTGGACTTGAAATAGTCATGGACTCTGAGTAAATTAGATTTACCCATTAAAAAAAGTGTTGATTTTGTCTAGGTAATTTGCCAGATTATAGATTTGTTTTTAGAGCAGGAGCAGCTATGATAGAAGATCTGTTCTTCTGTGTGTGACACCAGCCCTGTTCCTGAGATGATCTTCTCCAGTCTTTGCTTAACAGGCCTTCACATAACTGTCCTCCACACGAAGTTTTGGTTTTGTTCTTATTTAGCCACCAGGACACCTGTGCTGAACAGCCAACACAGATGCCTGAGGCTCCACTTCCCCTTCTAGCTAATGATCACAGTAGCTTATGGAGCCTTGCTCCAGGATGATCCCTCTGTGTAAATAGGGAGATGAGCGGCACATAAGGTTCAGGTGCTGCTGGAACAGCATGGCCTTCCACACAGGATGGCAGAGCCTCTCCCTGAATTGAGTCATTTACGTCTTTGCTTCTTCTTTTGGTTGAGGTGAGACTTGCCAAATAGAGCAAATCTCTCAGGAAAGAATACTGAAGTCTCTTGGTTTGACTACAAGTACTTTTTATTTTTGGTATTGAAGGACGGAGAGAAAGGGTATAAAATTTGACACACAGCCTGTTGGTTGAGGAATGTTTTTCTTTTTCCATTCAATGAAACAGAAATCCCTAAATGGAGAATATCACTATTAATAGTAATGGGAATATCACTATTAATGGTGCTGTGAAACAGAATATTGGAGATTATAGTTAGGTGCAATGTTTCTTTTTTTTTTTTCCCAAACATTAGAAATTTGAAAGTGTGAAATAGAATGTATTTTCTGACCAGAAAGTCAGAATATATTAAAAATATATAAAAATATGTATATATAAATAAATAAAAGCTTTGCTCTGTTTTTAAATAAACTAAACTTTCCCACTCCCATGCTCCTAATAAAATGACCTTCTTTCAGAACTGTCTTATTTTATGGGGAGGTTGAGGTGATTTCTATGACCAACGGCTCCTCCAAGACTAGTTGCGCTCGTGCTACCTCATGTCACATGCATCTTTTTTAAAAACAAATGCCGGGCGACCTCAGCACGTCGGCCGGTTCCCCGCAGGCGGGTCGCCGCCGCCCCACAGCATCTGTCGAGCATTTTCGGCAGGAAAAGGTGCCGGGAGAGCCTCGAGGGCGCTACCGTTGGTTCCACAAGCCGCAGCTCCCCCTGCCCGCGGCGGCCAGGAGCCGCTCCCGGCCCCTGCCCTCGTCCCAGTCCCTGTCCCCATTCCCATCCCTCTCCCTGTCCCTGCCCTGCTCCCCGTCCCTTCCCGCCGAGGGGGCCCGCGCGGCGCCCCCCCCTTCCAACGGCCGCCGGGCAGGGGGCGGGACGTGGGCAGGGGGCGGGGATATGGGCGGGGCCGAGGCGCAAGGCGGGGTCCGCGGCCCCGCCCTCCTCGCTGCCCGTGGTCCCGCCTCGGGGCGGGGCTTCAGCGCGGGGGCGGGGCCCCGGGGCGCCTCGCCCCCACCCGGCCAGAGGGGCGTGACGTGGGTGACGTGACGTCGCGCTGCCTGACGCCATCAGCCGGGCGCCGCTCCGGAACTCGGCCACGTCTGCCGGAAGTGGGGAGAGGGGGCCGCGCCGCCATGGCCGCTGGGGGCTCCGCCGTGTGAGCGGCCCCGGGGCCCTCCCGGCTGCCGCGGCCCTCCCGGGGAGCAGGTGAGGCTGCGGCGGCGAGCGGCAGGGCCGGGGGGGGCCCGCGGGGGGTCCGGGCGGCGGGCCCGGGGGAGCGGCCGCGGGGGAGCGGCCGCGGGGGTTGTGTGGGAGGAAGCCCCGGCCGGGCCGCCAGGTTGGGACGGGCAGGACAGACAAACTGCCTTTTTTAATTTTTCCTTCATTTCTGTGTCTATTCCCGTGCTAAGCGTCTGTCCGTTTTCTTCTAGCCTTGGTTTTGTCAGGTGCCAGTGCGCCTGTTTTTTTGTGGTCGCTGCAGACTGGCAAGCAGGCAGGACACCCGGTTGCAGCTTCTGGTGCCGGGAACAGATACCAGGGCCTGATGTGTGTTTTCTTAAGAAACTGATTAGATTTAGCTTGATTCTATTCCTTATGTTAAGCGCAGAAGCATGAAGCAAGTAGAACAAAGCTTGAATGTCATTGCAGCTGTAACAGGTTAGCACAGCTGTTCTGCAGGCAGCAAATACCGTCCCAGCAACTGGTTTCTGAGTGTTCTCCATCTTTTGCAGCACATGTGCCTGGAGCTTTAATTCTGTAGAGCTTACCGACAGCCATCCACCATGTCTTGGCTTGTGGATCTTGCTGGAAAGGCAGAGGATCTCCTCAACAGAGTTGATCAAGGAGCTGCATCAGCCCTGAACAAAAAAGACACATCAAGTGCTTCAGTATATGATGTTAAGAACATAGACTCTGCCAGTGAATACTCTGAACTGCACAAGCAGGCTGGAGAAACAAAGTATCAGACTTCATCCAAAGCAGCCTACATCTCTTCAGCAGCTGACAATATTAAACATCAAAAAGCTACAATCCTAGCAGGAACTGCAAATGTTAAACCAGCCCGTAGGACGTCTTTGGAGGCTGCTTCTCCCGTTGAAGGTGTTTCCACACCCAGACCTTCCTCACAATTTGTGAGAAAAAAAAAGTCTGAACCTGATGATGAGTTGCTATTTGATTTTCTCAACAGCTCTGAAAAAGAGCCCGGTGGAAAGATAGACTCTAAGAAAGAGAAGAGCAAGGCAGCTGTTCTTCAAAATCACTCTCGGACTTCAAGTGTTAGTTCGGTGTGTGCTAGTACACAGAGTGCAAAAGCTACTGAAGATAATTCCATCAGGAGTCAAGGCAACGGTAGATAAATAGTCTTGAATCTAGAGATACTTGAAATACAAGGTTGGCTGGGGAGGGTAATGGTTTTACTGCAACTTAATGTAATATCTAGCAGCAATAATATTTCAGATGTCTGGAGTGCAGCAGGTGGCTTAGTATTTTTTGGCAAGTCTCATGCTTACTTGCAAGCTGAACAGCCTTAATATCTGAATCCTTTCTACTCTTACAGCTCCACATTGCCACTGCTCACTTTGCCTTCCCTGAGCTGTGACCTGTATGTATCAGCATTCCATACATCCTCGCTTACAAACATGTGTTCTGGTGCTGCTGCATTTGTGCTGTCACTTGGGAACTCACTGTTTCCATGTAGGGCTGTGAGTGGCTTGCACTGACTGCCAGATGATACTGGCTTTTGCCCCATACACTAAGGGAGATGATGTTTTTCTTTCCTTTATAATGTTTTTTTTTTTTTAAAAAAAAAAAACTATGAGAGATGGGGAACTGTCAAGCTTCTCCCGCAGAGTGGGAGCTTGAATGTGGATATGCTGACGTAGAGCTACACGTGCGAGAGAGATGGATAAATGAGGCCCTCAGATTCATCCAAAATAATTCACTCCTTCAGCCTAAGAGCAAATTCCTGAAATAGCTCACAGACCACACGAGAACTATTAATCAAACGCTGAAACTATTTTCAAATTTAAATTGAGGATAACATGGCTGAGAAGTCAGGAAATGGTGTGTTCTGTATCTGGCTCTCGTGCCTGTCCTTTATTCCTAGAGTTGCTTTGCCACTTTGCAGAGGAACTTAGAAGCAAGCGTTCATATCGTTTGCTAATAATGTAGTTAGAATGCTTTAATATTTGTTCAGTACTTCAAATGTGTAAAGTGTTTTTGAGTTATTGTATTAACTACAGTGAAAACATTTAAAAGTATTAAGGGATTATTTCTAAAGATAGGAGTATTTTTGTGTTGCCAGGTCTGTAACTCTTTCAATGATGTTTAATAATAAGTCAAATATTTTAATCCTGGGTACTGCTTGTTCTGTGAGGTATATGGAATTTGCTTCTCAGAATTTTTGAGCAGAGTTTGCATCTCGGAGCTGATAAATAAGGAAGCACACAGATTTTAACATGAAGTTTAAGGACACTAGTTTCAAAAATGAAATACACACCTGTCTTCTAAATGTCCTGTATAACTTCTATCGAAATAGCTTATGATTGCCAATTGCTTTTATCTATAGCTAAACAACACTGTACATTGCCGTGGGTATAACTGGTGTTGTAGATGGCTAATTTCTTGCTCTTTAAGTTTTGCTAGTCTCCTGAGGTTTTCAGGCAGATGCAGATAACTTATGATTTGAAAATTAAATTAAAATTGAATTCAATTGAATTAAAAGGAAGAGAATGGCATTTCTTAAAGCCACTTAAATGGGATGATGAATTTGAGGAGAAAAAAAGTCTCAAATCTTGCTGCCACCTTGTTGAAATCTCGTTGTTGCAGATTAGCAGCCTGTCCCAGCTCTCTGGACACTGGGTAATGTGAACTGTTGCAATGGTAACAAGGAAGGTGGAGCTTGTGGGTTAGTAATCACAAGGTCAATTAAATAACAGTGACAGCCAAACTGGGATCTCGCTTTGGAATTATTTCAGTCTGTTCCCATGAATTTTCATTGAATTTCAGTTGCTCATTCACTCATTGCATGCTGCACTGTTTTATATTGACCTGGTGCAGAGCTTCTCCCAGCTGGCTGGATGTTGGAACTGGGACTGCTGGGGTGGGCAGCAGCCCAGGGCGCCCTGCGTGTTGGGAAGGGCAGGGCCTGGCCCCAGCCTGCAGGGAGCTCCTGTTCCGAGCACTGCCACTAGGTCCCTTCGGTCCTTACTGATGTTCTAAGCCAGAAAAGAGACTCTATTTTGATTTCCATAATCCTGAGAACTACAGTTTCTCTTGTTTTGAATAGTTTAACAGAGTAACTGTACCTCATATTTTTATCGTTCAAGAAAGGAAATATCGTATTGTAGCATCCTGCATGAAGTCACTAGTCTTTTTTTTTTTTAACAGTAAAAGTGCTTTTTGTTTTTTTCTAGAGAATCCTTGTTTGATGCAGAATGATCAGTAAGAGGATGTTTTATGTTAAAAAGTCTTTTAAAAAGCACCTCAAAAATTAAAACATACTGCACTGAGGCTGATTTTGCAGGTTGATATTGAAATTACAAGGAATATTTGCTTGAAATCCAAATTGTAATGGAAAAACGGAATGAAATTGTACTGGAAACTGCCTTAGTTGCTCTCTGTTTTGCATATCTTCAGTTACTCTGTCACCTTCTCTAGGCTCCCTATCATGAAAAATAACATTATTAACATTAATAAGATTTTTTTGTAATTTACATGACTGTCTTACTGGATTAACAAAGGTACTGCATGATGTTTAGGTACAGTATGTATTTTTAGTTTTTGAGAGGCAACTCCATGTTGCATTTCACTATAAGCTGGTTTTTATTTTGACTTTTAGAATATTAAATGAGTTTAATCCCTGTGGCAGGACATGGATTTGCTGCAAACTGAAAGACTAGCAGTTATTAGTTCTCACTTGCATCTTTTTGTACAGAGACTCCAGACAGTTCAGATTCTGGATTGGGAGCACAAGTGGCAGATAGTGCAAAAGACTCATCACCAAGTGCAGTAACTAATCCTGGCCTTTCAGCCACCGATGGTTTCAGACCTCATGAGCTCTCCAATCTTCGACTGGAGAATCAGCTGCTGCGGAATGAAGTTCAATCTTTAAATCAAGAAATGGCTTCGTTAATTCAGAGATCCAAAGAAACACAAGAAGGTACTGCAGTTTGGAAATTAAACTTGAAAATGGTACCAAAATGTTAGTGAAATAGAAAATAATGTTACTTCTGTGTCAGTTTTTAAAATTTAGAATAAAATCTGTCTAATAGCATATGTAGTCAATTTTTTTTCCAAATTTTGTATCTTAATAAAACAAAGTAGTGAAGGTGAACAATATTAAAATATTTTTCATGCTTTTTAAAGGATACTGCAAAATAGTAATTTTATATGTGTTAACTCCTTGAAATACCTGAAACTTGACTACTTTCTAAGCTGTAGGCAATCATCTCTGATGTACAAAAACTGATCTTTACTATTTATTGGATTTTACTAGTTTACTCAAAGCCAAATGAAATAACGCATGAAAGGGGGAGGAGGGGAGTGAATGCATGAAAACCTTTAAATAATCATTTAAATTTGTTAAATTGCTGCTGTTGGATCCAGAAAAGGATGACGGCATTTTTTTTGAAGTATTTGTGTGACCAAAGAATTTTAATTTTCATTGAAGGCTGATATATAATCTTTGCTTAAAGAAAAAAGCCTCAGGTATTTTTCAGGTGTTGGTTAGCACTGTTATATTTTTTCTACTCACCATTTTTTCATGTTTATTTTCAGCTTGCTAGTGACATGCAGTAGATGCTTTATGCAGAGCTTTCCAAATACTTGCTCTCACAGGGCTATTCAATAGTGGGCCATGAGGAGGAATGGGGCAAGCAACACTTGTTGTCTAAGATAGAATGAAAATGTCTGTTTTGAGATCACATGGAAAATTCTATGAATTGTGCTTTGGCATCTGGATTCTGGCATTTGTTCCTCCTTCAAGTAATGTGAAAACTTTGAGATACCAATTTGTTACATTTATTTTTTCATTATGGAATATGATATATTACACCTGACCACTTAAAACATCCTGTAACGTCTGCTTTTAAAATCTTCTAAGAAACCTTTTTGCCTTGTAGAATTAAACAAATCCCGGGAGAGGGTCGAGAAGTGGAGTGTTGACCATTTGAAGAGTGATAGGATGGTGAGAGAACTTCAAGCTCGAGTTGATGATCTCACAGAAGCTGTTGGTGCCAAGGATTCCCAGCTAGCGGTGCTAAAAGTGCGGCTGCAAGAAGCTGATCAGCTCTTAAGTAGTCGGACAGAAGCCTTGGAAGCACTGCAGAGTGAAAAATCACGGTATTTCATAAGTCATTCCAAAGAGAAATAGTTTGGAATCTCAGGATAGAAAGCATAGAGAGAAGAAAAATGGAAAAGTGAAAAAGTGTGTGCTTTTTTTAGTTTGGTTGGGTATGTTTTTTGTTGGACGTGAACTAAAATATCGTTAAAATTTGCTCTGAACGTATTACAGCATAGCTGACAGTGGGAACAGGGCAATGTCTATTCAATAAGGGCAATTGTCACCTGATTATTGAAATGCATTTTGTATGAAGTATTTCTTTAAACTGAGGCCTGAAACTGAAGGCTTTGGGATTAATGTTTCTGTCTTGAAAAATATGTTCACCTGTTCACGAATGTAGAGACCCTTTTGCATTAATCTCAGAGTTGGAATATGTATCTGCAGTGGGATATGAGTGTATAGGACAGGGAGGGACTGCATGTGTCACTAGCTGCAGACATCCTGTCTGTAGCCAACAATACTCAATTAGTTGAGAAAATTTTCGAGGCCAGGCTTAAAAGCAGGCAGGCCAGGCTTAAAAGTTTCTACCTGAAAAAGCACGCTGGGTTTCTTTCTATCAATTAATGTCTGTGTCACTCTTTCAGGATAATACAAGACCACAGTGAAGGGAGCAGTTTGCAAAATCAGGCCCTTCAGACTCTTCAAGAGAGGCTGCGTGATGCAGACTCCACGTTGAAGCGAGAGCAAGAAAGTTACAAACAGATGCAGGTTAGACATGAAATCTAAGGCAGACTCGTAATCTGCTTTTGAGATGAGATCTATGCTTCTAACTACTCTCTCTTCTCCTTGACCTCACTTTCTGCTCAAGTTAGTAAGGGCTTGGTAGGATGTTTTCTGTTGCACTAGATATGTTTACAAAATCACTTAAATTTTTAATTATATTTTTTGCAGGCTTTGTGATTAAAAGGTTTTTTTGAGATGTAATGCTGAAATTTTTACTGCTTTTTAACTATTTCTATGATAAAATTATTTTTTGAAAATATAGGTTAGTCATCAATTTAATTTTCCATGACAAGTGGTTTTCCTCTCCACACACTAATATGTAATCTTAATAATGCTAAGCAGGATGATTATAGTTACAGTAAATGTGGGCATTTATTGCTAGAAACCTGTTTGCATTCCACAGTTGACCTGGCCTTAGTTATGTTTAATTCAATCTTGGAAAATTGTTGTTGGCATTTTTTTCTTTCTAGTTATGTTTAAATATGGCAATCTAAAGCTCTGAAGGAAGGGTTGCTTTTTGTTTACTGTATAGATACTTAAATGTATGATGAAGTAAAGACAGACATTTTTACTTAAGTACCTGCTGAATAGGTAAAATTGGTAAACTACCAGGACTACTTTCCTCACAGAAAGCACTAACGTATCTTTAAGGTGGAGGTGGCAGACAGGGTATTGTTTGTTGTATAGTTGCTTCTTTTTTTTTTTTTTTTTTTTTTTTTTTTTTTTTTTTTTTTTTTTTTTTTTTTTTTTTTTTTTTTTTTTTTAATGCTTTTTGTTTTTGTTTTCTTTTATTGCTACTAGAATGAGTTTGCAGCTCGTCTAAGTAAAATGGAAGCTGAACGCCAGAACTTGGCAGAGGGGATTACTGTGGCAGAAAGAAAATACTTAGATGAAAAGAGGCGAGCTGATGAACTTCAACAGCAAGTCAAAATAACTAAAACCCAGCTAGAATCTGCAAAACAAGAACTGACAGACTATAAACAGAAAGCTACTCGCATACTCCAGGTAGGTACTACGGTAAAGAAATTAATTTGTATGTGTTTAGCTTTTGAACACACTATATTACATATAATTTTTGTAATTTTAACTTTTTCATGAGAGCAGTAATATATTGCATGACATGTAGGAAGTTAAGGAAGTCAATAGGAAGCATTTTGATCTTAAATTCTGTATACTACTTATTTGGATAAAAAGAGGTAAAGCAGTAGTTTCCCTGTGTGTCTGTAGCATGTTGTCTTCGGACTTTAGAGCAAAGTTACTTTGACAGATTCGAAGTTGATCACTTATTAAATACTGCCATAAAAACGTATTGACTTTCTGTTTTAGTCTAAGGAAAAGCTTATCAACAGCCTGAAAGAAGGCTCAGGAATTGAAGGTCTGGATAACCATACTGCAAGCACAGTGGAACTAGAAGAACTGAAACACGAGCGAGACACTCAGAAAGAAGAGATGCAAAAGCTAATGGGGCAAATACAGCAGCTCAGAACAGAGTTGCAGGTAGGTGTGATTATGGATAGATGTATTTAGACATGTGCTGAGGAAAGGCTGCTTGGTTGTATTTTAGGGTTGTTTCTTCTAATACTTATTTGATGTACCATTGAAACAAGCTTTTTGCTCAGGGTGGGACAAGCACTTCTAGATGCCAATTTCCTCACTACATCAGCTGGGCCTGGGATGGTGAGAGAAATTGTATATGCACTGCTTCTCTTTTCCCTCATTACTGTTTGATCCTTTTGTCAAAGTTTTCTTTCCAGACAAGCCTGATGGTTTCTGTATAGCTCACGCTTGTCCCTTCCTGCAAAGGCTGCCTCCTAATCCGTGAAGCAGCTGCAGTCTCTGTCATCTGCTCCCATAATTGGCTCAGCCCAGCATTCACACGCAAGCTCTACTTTCTACACAGTTTTAGCCTGTGTACAATAAGAAGGAAAAGGTGATCAATTGGAGACTTCTCTAGGTTTACAAAATGCAGTTTAAAATTTCCTATTTCTATATGTTAATAAAAATATTATATATCGAAATTGCCCAAATGTCATGTCACTTATCTTGACCTTCCTGTGGAAACAGTGCTACAGATGTAACTTTTGGCTGTTGTCCATAATAGACCACACTGGTTTTTGTTAGTGAAGTGGTAACATTTCTGTCTGTTTCAGGATATGGAGACTCAGCAGGTAAGTGAGGCTGAGTCAGCAAGAGAACAACTTCGAGATCTGCAGGAGCAAATAGCCACACATAAAATGGCCAAGCAGGAGGCAGAAGCTGAACTAGAACGACAGAAACAGGTAAGCAGTTTCTAAGAGCTCATTAGTCTTTTTTTTAGGTCCATGTAGTGTCATCGGTAAAGTGTTTGGCATAACAAAAGTATTTTATACAGTGTTAAGACTTATTTTTTCCACAATATTCAAAAGAATTCACCGAAAGGTTAGTGAACATTGTCAGGTCAACCATTAGTAAGCAATGGAAAAGGCCTACTAAACATTCCTCATGAATGGAGTTTTATTTATTATTAAAATAATAAAAACTCTCAGGAATACTTGGGACGGAGCATGATCTTAAACCTTATTTGTCAGGGAACTAGTCAAACAATATATCAACATTAAGACAAGAGATTAACACTTATATCAAGGAAGTTAAATACCAAAAATACTATGGAACTTCGTTCAGTTAATAATTAAATAGAATTTAGTTTTAAAATATGGCATTACAGTATAACAATGTGGAGATATTTTTTCAATCCTCTTATCCCCCAATCCAAACAAGACAAACTGATAATAAAATGATATTACTAAGCTTCATTGCATTTATTTTTTTAAGCAAACTCCCTTTTGATTTCAACAGTTTGTGCTAAAAAGTGTAAAAACAAACACTCATTTTTTTATAAACAACCTAATTCTTTGGTAGTAATCAGACCAGTGCTTTGCACCTGAATGAAAATTTCCTCTGTAAAAAAAGACGCTCATGTAAAAGAGAATTAATAATGAAGAAAGCAAAAGAGTGGACTGTACCTGCTGGGAACAACTTATCTTACAGGATTATCTGTCCTTTCAGAAATTACATTTTAATGAGATGCTAGCGGCTTGAACTAATTAAAAGGCAGAAGTCAAAGTCTGCTCTTGATGGAGAGCTATTGTTTATTATATCAAAGCAGATGGTAGGTTGTATCTTGTTACCTCTGTGCTTTTGAGGAGCGCATTTTAAGTCAATGCCGCATATAAAAAAGTGAGGTGAAGCTACAAAAAAAAAGCAGGAGGAGATAGATATTATCGATTATATTAAAATGAAATTTTCCTTTACTTATTCAAATGTGCATATGCTTTTAAAGTAATTGTGTGCATTGATATTTAATGCAGGTGTGTTTTTTTCCTTGCGGGAGCCTGTACCTACAGTTATTGCTATAAGGTTTCTGAGACTGAAAATAAGTAGAGGTATTATTTCTTGTATATATGATTTGTCTGGTTGCTGTGGCAGCTGATAGCTGAAATGGTAGCAATGATCTGAAAATTATCATGGCAGACCATTAGATAGGAACTAAAATAACTGCTAAGTCATGAGGATAGCAAGAGGTATGGTTAGATTTGCTGTTCACTCAGTGGCCTAATGCTAATATTCCTTTTGCTTCCACCCTCTTATCCTGTTAACTCTAAACTGTAAAGGAAAATCCCTGTCATGCACATTACACAGAATTAAAAATAGCTGCACGAGTTTTTCAAAAGCTTAATAAGATTATCTTGCATTAATGAGATTATTTTAGGGATCGTGACTCCCCAAAAGTATTACCTGACTGTTTATGTTCTATCGTTGACATCTTCATCATCAAAGAAGATGAATCGTGCTTCCAAAGAAATTGTGTGGCTACACAATAAGCTAGTTGGGATTAATGTTTGCGTTAGGTCAGTCTTCACAAGAATTGGGTAGTTTTGGGGGTTCTGCCTTTATACTCAGTTTTCCAATTTTCTCCCCTCTTGTAGCATCTAAAAATCAGACACTTCTATCTCAGATTAAATTTCAGTTTATATTTGATTGTGTTTATTGTCTGCTTCTCTAGCACGAAACGCTAGATAGCAGAATGTCTCTCAAAATACATACATAGCTAAGTTTTTTATTTGTGATTGTGATCATTTTCATAGGAACTCCATTACACCGAGGAAGAACTGTATCGAACAAAAAATACTTTGCAAAGCAGAATAAAAGACAGAGAGGAAGAAATTCAGAAGCTCAGGAATCAGGTGCTGTCTGTATAGAAAATGAACTGTAAACATGAACACTTTTATGGTTCAGAATAAAAGCTATTAGTATGATTTAAAAGCAAGAAAAACATCATTCTTCTACTAATGGGCTACAATGTACTTTGAATACAGAGCACAGTTTAGAGAAGAATGCAGGAAGGGAACAGTGAAGAGATATAGAGACTTATTTTTATAGTTGCCTCTGCTTTTCTCTTTGACAAAGGCAATGTGTAGCCAAACTGTATTTAGTAGGCAGGTACTCTGTTGCAGTTTTTCTTTTTGAAAATGAAAGAGTGTTTTAATGGCACATAACTATTTCTGCAAAGATCCTTTTAATTAGATATAAGAACACTAGGCTTTTTGCTGACTCGGATTAGTGATCCTTCTAGCCCAGTGTGCTATCTCAGTGTGTTAGCCAGGCCACTTTCTTCACTCCCTTTCCCAGGTGTTCCCTCAGCATTCACAGTTGTATATATTGATGATAAAGAATATAAGGCTACCTAATGGATTTGTGGGCATATTTTTGTTGAATTGGTCAAATCTGGTTTGGAGTCTTGATCCTGGCAGCCCCAAAGACTCTCTTGCCAGCAAAAAGGCATCAGTTTCATTTTATGTAAATTATCTAAGACAGCGTGATAAAAAATAGGCTACGTTTGAAGAAATTGATGGTCTAGAGCCAGCTATGATCAGCCGTGCAGATACGGTGCTAGGGAATTTGAAAGCTGCTTGCATTGCAATGCAGAATTCCCAAACATATCAGGGAGCATTTTTTTTTTTCCCCGGGCAGTGGCAGTCCTTCAGGACTACTTCCTACCAGCCCTGATCCATTGCATCCCTGTATTTATATTGTCTCGCTGCTGCTGGTTTCATTGTCTCATTATTAAAGCTGCATTATTTTGATGTAAGGTGCAATAGGTGGCTCTGGTGTTGCATTGTATCAAATAGATGCGTTGCTGCACATATTACTGAGCTCAAGATTCCCATTTGCTTTAAATGTTTTGTGTAAATTGGACAGTGTGATCCATGCTGTTTTAATCCTTCCTGCAGCTTGAGGTGGTTGTCCTAGTCCATTTTTTCTTAGTACTTTTTTGTTTGACATAAAGTCTTGTTTTAGCAACTGTTGAGACAGGCTTTTGTCTTTATTGTGCTCATTGGTAATGGTTTTGGTCATGTTACCCAATAAAGGTTCTGAAATGTATTAACTATTCTTTTTGTTTGCTTTTTTAAGTTTTTTTTTGAACATACCAGTTTTGTAATATTGTTGTGTTGGTCAGATTTTTAAAATACTCTATTTTCTTTTAAGCTCACAAACAAGGCTCTAAGTAGTAGCAGTCAGACAGAATTAGAGAATCGGCTTCATCAGCTGACAGAAACACTTATTCAGAAGCAGACCATGTTAGAGAGCCTGAGCACAGAGAAAAACTCTCTTGTTTATCAACTGGAACGACTTGAACAACAGCTTAAGGCAATCCAAGGCACGAGTACTAATGGACCTTCCATTAACATGGCAGGAGTTGATGGTTCTGAAGGTAAATATGGAAATACTTAGAACTGTCCTTTATGCAGTTAAAGCTTCTATTTTCCCTAATGCCTTGAGTTTGTAAGGATAAAAAGTCCTGAAAATACATGGTTCTGCAGACATTGATGTGTCCATACTGTGCAGAGTTAATCCAGTGTTACTGGGAAAACCTCAGCAATTTATAAGTCTTTATAATGTTACTTTTTGCAGTCAAATTTTCTACTGTATGTGGTAACTGCCTTTATATGTCTTGGTTAATTGTGCTTTGTTTTAAAAACCAACAGCCCAGACTTCTGTTTGCTTCCTTATGAAGAACTAGCAAAATTTAAATTAGAGTATAATTTTTGCTAAATTCAGTAAATTTAAGTTTACTTGCACAATCAAAATCACTGTTTTAGAGACTTAAGAATTGACAAAAAAAAAAAAGCCAAAACTACTATGTTTTTTACTTAATAGTTTTGAATATCATGATGTCCCTCTAGTAAATTGAAACAAATTTAAACTTAGTTCAGGATACATTGGACTTGGTTTTATTTTTGTTAATAATCCAATCCTTGCATCATATTCTGTTATCCTCAACAAAATCTTCAAATCGGATGAATTTCAAATTTTGTGTTACTCATGTATATCTTCAGGTTGTGCACTATCAATTTGTTTTAGTTGGGTAACAACTGATTTTACACTAAAGAGCTTTTTGTTTTGGTTTGGTTTTAAATAGGCACTCGTATGCGGAACGTTCCTGTCCTTTTTAATGACATGGATACTAATATGGCAGGAATGTACGGAAGAGTTCGCAAAGCTGCCAGTAGCATAGATCAATTTAGGTAAGACTTTCCTAATGAAATGCCCTTATTTGTTACTGGACTTCTTTTCTAGGTGGTAGAGCTTCTCTTTTGAATTGTTTGTGTCAAAAGGAGGGTGGGTGGGAAAGGGGGAGGCAATAAACCGGTATAGTGAACACAACAATATATAAAATCACCTGTACTTTGTGCTTTCTTATATCAGAAATATTTTACCTCTGTGACAGACAGCACACTGGGGCAGTGTCCTACATGCTTGGAATGTATGCTGTGTATTCTTCAATTTTTGTTTAAGCATCCAACAGGATGTTGGGTTCTGACTAAGTGCAGCTGTTTGCCTTCCAGAAAAGATAATCTGATCTAGAAATTAGTAAACAAAAGTATATCTGGATCTGCCAAACACTTGTTTTGATCTCTTCTCACAGTATCTGTGTTCACTGTCAATGAATGGTTTTTTTTCCCGAAGGTTGGATCAAATAGGAAGGGGGAACAAAAACAATATTTCTTCATCTTTGAAAAGTAGGATATCTTTAAAAAAATGTCCTTTGTGTTTCTATGGTACTTCTCAGTTGTAAAGGATAGTAGCATTTCTGTGTCTGGGGATCATGGTGATTTAATAACCAAACTTCAGTTTGGAGTATCATAATCTCTTTCTAAAGTAAACTTTGTAGTGCTGTAGCAATAGAATTGGAAAACTCATATCTTTAATGAAAAGAAAAACAGCAGTGAACCATTCCATTTTTTCAAAGGAATCCAAAGTTTTTATTGCTTAAATATCTTTGAAAATTATTTTTCATTACAGTTTCTGGAATCACAAAATTTGGCAAATTTTTAGTTTTAAAATGCCCATACAGGTGTAAATGTTTTGGCTCTTTTTTGCAAAGTCTGACTCTAGCATATTAGCAGAAAAAAATTCAGTCTGCAAACATGGTCTGAATTATGAATTTTCTAATTGAATGTCTTGACTACAAGAAGTAAAATTCAGTTCAGAAATGCAGCAAGCCATGTCTGTAAAGCAAGTTGGTGTTTCTAAGTTTGTGCTAACTATAATGAAAGGAACTGGATTTATTGCCCGGTGTTAACTTAAACATTTTGTTTTTCTTTTATATAGCATTCGTCTGGGAATCTTCCTAAGGCGGTATCCCATAGCAAGAGTCTTTGTAATCATTTATATGGTGAGTAAGCTTCCTTTATAGTGAGAAGATAATTTGGGATTTCTGCAGCAATTTCGTATGATACATGAGGGATTGAAAAGCATTTTATATTTAAAAGTGAAAGGCTACGTAATTAACAGCTCAGCATCTCTTTTAAAGTAGGCTGCATGTTTCTAATGGCTGAAAAAGTACCAAGTTTTTCTTACTAGATGCTCCCAAATAGTTGACAGTTTCTAATGTGAATTAGGTGAGATTGGCAGACTTGAAATTCCTCCCTTTTCCACGGGAGGGCAGATGCCTCTGTCGGTTGAAGTGACCAGCATTAAAGTGCAGTCTGCCCTGCTGGGAAATACTTCCTTAGCTGAGCCTTTCAAATGAAGGAGAACATGTGCCTTGAGAAGGCATAATATTTCTTCTAAACAGAATCTCTGGGAATAGCTGACACTGTTTCAGGATATAAAGCTGACAGGCACATGTAAATAAAGGAAACGACAACTTTCCTCTGCAATTGCATTTTCCTCCTTGTTAAGTACTGGAAGGAACAGGACTGTTTATGTTCTTATCTTCTGTTTCTTCCTATTTATGACTTAGATTTCTCAATATGTGAATAAGGACCAACACTCTGAAGATTTTTACTGCCTAAGCTGCTACTCAAACTACTCAAATGAATGGCGATTGCACAGGAATCCTATATCAGACGGTCGATAGCAGGTGTTTTTATTCAGCACAGGAAGTCATGGATAGCTGGAAGCTTGGCTGTGACTATTGACTAATCACTAATGCCTGTCATTATCACTAATCTGTTTTGTAAGGAAATGTAGCTTCTGTATTTCATCTGTTGTCTCCCTTGTTAAGTTCCCAGAAACTTCTACAGCAGTTGGATCACTTCAGCCAAATTGGAATGAGAATTAACTTTCCTAGCAAGTTCGTGAAAATGCCTCAGTAGAGAATAGAGACTTAAATTAGCAGCCCTGTTAAGGAGAAAGCAGGCAGAACTTGGCTGTTTTGCACTGTCTGGTATTAGCAAGTCGGTGCAGGAGCAGCAGCTTATCAGTCACTGCAGACAGATCAGCTAATCTGCTCTCAGTGGGCTAGACCGGGTATCAGAGAGCGTGCCTGGAGTATTAGGGGATGCAAGGAAGGACAGGGCAGCAAGTATAAATCTGTAGGAGGCCAGCTCCATTGTTTTTCCTGTTTACATAAAAATTTTTGTTCTGTAAATGGATTTCTTTCAGAATATGGCTCAGCACTTCATTTATAAATAAGACTTGATTCTTTTACTGTATAAATAATGTTGCTACAAGACAAGCTTTTTTTAGATCACAGTGACACATTTACTACTGCTTTAATTGATGATAACCAGTGCTTAAAAGTAATTCTCTCTCTTTTCTTCCCAGGCATTGCTTCATCTCTGGGTCATGATAGTTCTACTTACCTACTCTCCAGAAATGCATCATGATGGTCCCACTGGCAGATAGACTGAGACAGGACCATGTGCTGTGCTAAGGAAAGAACGCTGGCTAGCAGAGTACTTAAAATGGTCAGTCCTGAAATGTCAGCAAAACTTTCCTCATCTTGTTTAGGAGGAATGGAAACAGTCATCTCTGACTTATCACTACTTTTTAATGCAAACATAATACTATGTAGCTATTTCAATTTGCCTAAAACTGTATGACTCTTTGGAGAAACACGGTTGTTAAGTTAAGCTAAACTTAGCCTTTACACTTGCATAAGCCTTCTGATAGCATAAAAAGAAATAAGGTTTACACCTACAGAGAAATTCAACAATTTCTGAGGTTACAGATATATATGGTACAAACTATTTTGGACCATACTGGATGTGGGCTATAGTCAGGTAACAAACTGTACTTAGGAATTTAAATAAACTTTATTTCTGATGTCTTTCAGTCTGCTTTTGCACTTCTGTTTTTAACTTTGTAAATAGTAGGCTTTTCCTTAACATGTTAAACTGAAAAAATGATAATGGATTGGTGCAATATCTTTTTGTAAATAAGGTTAAAAATAAAACATGATGTATTCTTCTTAGCTTTGTACTTTTAATGCAACAGATAAATCTTCCCTATGAGCTGAATAGTGGGATTGCCTACTTATTGGTTGATATTTTAGCTTTATTGGGGTGAGAGTGGGTTGCAAGAATGGTTTGTGCTTTTCAGAACTTTTTTTTCGCACTTGAAATGTATGTATTTTAATTGTATTTTGTTTTATACCTCTCATTTCAAGGTGTCTTAAGCAGATCTTATATTCATTTAATTACTTACTAAAACTCTAGGTAAAGTCAATACTATTTCAATACTATTTCAATACAGAATCTGTGACAACTGCTGAAATCTCTCATGTCTAAATACTTAACCAAATGTACTTATCAAGAAACTTCATCATAAAACCCATGAGGCCCAGTCAAACCTACTGTAATAGTTCTGTGTTACAGTGGCATTCTGTAATTATGAATTCTTGGTACATTAGTGCAATAATACAAGGTCACTTATGCTTAAATCTGTTGCCTTGTGGAGTGCTGAAAGCTGAATAATGAGAAGATGACTAAAAGTAATTTGTCACTCCTACTCTAATGGTTATGGTTCAGTTCTCATGTGACTTGAACACATTAAGTTTTAGTCATATGCATGGTCTGTCATGCTAATGCCTATAGAAGTGCTGCAGCAGCCAAGTGTTACAGTAGCCACATGTATTGCTGCTCTGATTCAGATCTTGCAGTAAAATCTGAAATATTTTGATAAAATAAATAAAAAAGAGAGCATTTACAATAAGCTGTGTCCCTACCTTCTGTCATATTTACTGCACTTTCCTTAACTACTCTTGCCTGTTTCTGTTTTGATATTAAAGCTACTGTTGAGCCATGATGAGAGCTGCTAGATGTAGAAGGAGGTAAAGACCCTTGGATAAATGTATGTGTATAAAAGGGATTCTACATTAAAAAGGAGAGGAAAAAATAAGTACTGAATTGTATTTTGGAAACTGTAATGTACTGTGAAAATTCTGTGGGAGCCTTTTTAGTGGTATAAGCCCCCATTGCTTTGCTGCTGTCGCACCAACTGTGCATTTATTGCCTCTTTCTTTTCCCTTCTCCCTCCCCACCTTTCTCTCTTGGTAGAGGTCTTCTCTTCAGGCCCACAGATGGCTTGAGTTTTGTTCCTTACACAAGTTAAAAGAATCATTATAGCACTTTTTCTCATAGATTATTTTTCTTTAGTTCCTCTTTTGTTCATCTAGCTTTAGTAGAAATTCTACTTAGGTAAGCATGAAAAGTTTCTTGCTGCCCTTGGTCTTTAAATTGCACTCCTACATTCCTGGAATTTTTTGTGTTGATCTATACACTGCCTTAGAACTGTGAACAATCTCTCTAGAGCAGGGATGTTTATGTTCTCACATCCTTGCCCCCTGAAATGATGCACAGCATTTTTTTTTCAGTCATCTTAAGTGTATTAATCATGTATTAACTGTTTATTATTCTTACAGAAGAGGTACATAACCTTTTGAGAAGAGTAGCTGGGTATATTTTAATTTTAAAAGCCTCGGTTTTAACAAACTGTGGAGCTGTTTTCACCCAGTAAATAGTCTTGAAGAAAGCCAATGATGAATTAGGCTTCCTTGCCAGACAAAGGGCTGTTCACTGGAGAAAGTAACGTAGAACAAGGAAATAAATGCAATTCAGGCTGTCTTACAGTTTACATAAACACCTTTCAGGCTCTTTTATAGAATAACATAAAAAGCTTTTACTAGAGTTAGCTATTTGAGAACTCCACAAGAAATAATACGAAGAACTTAAATATACAACACTACAGAAGCTTAAAGCTTTTGTTTAAACATGCTGGTTTTCTTCCCCCTGCAATTCGTGTTAGCAAACTGCGTGATGCAGTGCAAGAATACACAAGATGTCCAACGGAGTCTGTCTGAATATAAACACCAAATTTCAAGTAAAATGATGAAATACATTTCCTGACTCAAGTTAGTAATCTTGGTCCCTGAGGTCGCCTGCATGGATCTGCCAAGTGTGCTACAACTACAGGTCAGGGGTGGCACAAGGACAGTTTCAACAGGCGGCTATTAATGGTGTCGTGAGGTTGCCTTACTGAGCAGATGGCTTTGGAGCGAGCAAGAAGCTGCTTTTAGCCTGTGTCGTAAGTGACAGGAGGATAGTCCAAGCACTGACTCCTATTCAGGGACTGCTACAGGATGATTAAACTACTTGACTGCATAGATCTGGATGATGATTTAAGCTTTTGGTTGTTTTGTTTGTTTAATGTTTCATAAATACTTGTCATATCTATCTAAGACAGGATCTATATCTAGTGCCAGAAATAAATGTCTATAATTCAAAGAAAAACACATTTTTTTCCAGCTGCAGTATCACACATTCTTGAAAGCAGCATGGGCTACTGTGTAGCTGAAAAGTCCTCTCAGTTCCTTCCTTCTAGGACTGGTTTAAATACCGTGTGTATTCCTTGAATGAATAAAAAAGACCCCAGAAATAATGGAGAAAAGGCAGGTAGGATGTGATTTCTTCCATTGGTGCTCAGTTTGTGTGTATGCTCAGAGCAGAACACTCCCTTCTGCGTTGGCTCACGGAGAGGAGCTGGCAGAGCTGCTGCAGGTGCGGTGGGAGAGCAGACGCGGCTGCTCCGACGGAGAGAGCTCGCTCAGGAGCACCCGGCCAGCCTTCCGACGTGGGGTGCCGAGGAAACCTCTGTGCACTGGGTTGCTGAATCAGGGCAAGCTGGAGAGCTGGCTGAAGCCAAGCCTGGAGGCAAGAACAGGCCTGCGGTGAGCTTGGGGAGGGCAGTTTCTAAACCAGTCTCATTCCTAATCTGGTCTCATTCCTATTGTCCCTCAATCCTATGGGTAAATGGGATTTCTTACATTTGAAGAGGTAACTGGTCTAATAAAACTTGGTATTTTCAGTAGGAAATTCTTTTGTCTTTGCAGAATTTGCAGTAGAGCGAATGGTGTGGCTACACAGAGCAGGGAAACATGGGCTTGGGAGGTAAGCACCGGCTCTCCGGTGCATTCAGAAATGCAGTCAATGTGCTTGTCTGCAGGTTACTTGTCAGAGGAGGCAGTTAAAATATGCAAAACTAGGGCTTTCCTGCCAGCTCTGACACTGCTCTGAGCTGCTCATCATCTGCCAGCACCTCAGCCAAATATTTAGTTTTTTGTTTTCTTTTTTCTTCCTACTTGCATTGCTGAACTAAAGATTTTGTTAACTGGCAGTAAGTGAAGTAAAATTCCCCAAGTCAGAACTGTCAAAACTGCTCTGCCTGCAATGCAGTGAGCTGGACTCCGCTGTGCAAGCTCTGGTTGGGGTTGCACACAGTGTAGGGTCATCAGCTTCTGTTACATGCCTTGTGTGGAAATATATGTGTGTTCCTCTTAAGGCAAAGAGGAATTTGGTCCTCAAGGGGAACAGTTAGCCCTGCTGGAAACTGTCTCATGTAGCCAGAGCTTTTAGCACCCAGTTTTATTGGGCAGCTAAGGCTCAGAGATTCGTCAACACAGAAAGCATTTCATGCTTATGCCAAAATGTGCATTTAGGAGTTTGCTTTTTAGGCCACTAAAGTGAGTCTGCAGCCTGTGTGAAGTGACACTGGATCGTAAAAGTCTTCTCCCCTGCCCCAAAGCTGCGTAAGGCTTTGGCTGCAATAAATAAATAAATACGGAACTGGAAGAGGGGAGCTGTGAATCCAAAGTTTTAAGAGTGAATTAAGACATGAATGTAACTGAATTAATAATAAACATGTCCTGCAAAGCTTGTGACTGATAGTAAGAGCGATACCACTCTTTTCATGATACTGTGTAGCCTGGAAAAGGTCTCTTTCTCTGACATGCTGATCACCTTGGGGCATGTTCAATAAGAGATTAGAGATTTGGGTTTCTGAGAAAGAGGACTTTGTGTGAATTCTCAGGCTCGGTTTAGTCCCAAACATTCGTGTGACAACAGACTTCCTTCCCATCTTAGCTTGCTGATGTTTGATCTCTGTGCTTTATTTACTGTGTTAGGTCAGTCATATATGTACAAAGGCCCTGTACAAAGGAAGTGGCTTTATTGCTTGATTTCAGGTAACATTAACACAGGGGGAAATCAGATTTGCACAGTAAATAATCTGTTTCTAATTAGAACAGATGAAACAGGTGTTGCTTTACCACAGGCCTTGCTTCCCTCCTTTATTGATGGAACAGTTGCAGCCTAGCTGCAAAATTTGTCATGACTACATTGCTAAGTATTTTAACTAGGAAAATATAAGGCAATATTTAAGAATAGCTGTTTGCAAATACAGAACACTCCGTGCCTTGCCATCTTTCCCTGTGTCACCAAGTTATCCGCATTATAGTAATGAGCATCCATGGGCATGTACTCAAGTAAGTATGGTTTCCTTTTAAATATGCACTCATATCTACATATCTGTTGTGCAAAACAGGTGAGATCTGGGTTTTAGGAACAGAGCAAACATATTTCTTGCTATTAAGAAAAAGAATCTATTTTGGCAATTGTGCTGAATCAATTTTGGCAATTTGGCAATAAAGCATCATTTTAACACTAGTGTCTGACAGCAACCTGCACAGATCATTTTTAATATGTAAATTCAAGCAATAATTAAGAAGCAATAATTGAAAGTGCTTGTGCTTGTATCTTTGGTGCAAGAAAGCACAATGATTGGAGTTTATTTTGTAATTATAAAGTGTTTTCTGCAAGAGGGTGGAGAGAAGTGGCAGTTGTTCATCCCAGCAGCGGGTGCTGGAGGAGAGTGCTGTGACTGCAGCATCCCTGGAGACCTGGGCAGCAGCCTCCATCCCCGCTGTGTCCCTGCTGCCAGAGCTCAGATTTCTTCCTCCCTTGCCCACAGATGCGGCAGATGAAACAAATAGCAGGAATTAAGGTTATAATGGTTTTTTCTTTGTTTGTTTGTCCTTTTGATTGTTTTTATTTTACCCTAGTTGTTCATTCTGCTGTTCAGAGCCTCCTAATAGAATAAAGCCAGCTTAGCTCCTATTGCACATCTGTTTCTACCAATTGGATATACAGGTAGAGGCTTTCACACGCAAGGTTTCTTAAATCCCCATTAATGCACCTAGATGAAGGAGTCTGAGCATTGTTTTCCAAAGTCTCCTTTATCTTGGACCCTAGTAGTGGGATGGGATCTTGAACTTCATGCTCCCTGGGCTGTTAGCAAGCTGTTGCTGTTTGAACTTTTTCAGAAAGATGATGAGGAGAGCGAGCAAGAGCCTGTGGATATTAACACTGCCCTTCTCCTAACCGTGCAGTGTGGCAGGGACCACCAAACCACCACCGTGCTGGTGTGGGGAGATTCAGAGGTAGCTGCAAACCCCCCTGTGATCCCAGCACGCTGACACCAGCCTGGCAGCAGAGAGAAGGACCACCAGTGAGCGGCCATAGGCAGCCACTTTCTCCAGACCACTGGTGGATCACGGAGTGGGGATTGCTCCTATGCATGGGATTTGGGAGGACGGGGACCTTAAAGCTCTTGTTCATTGCTAACATAGCACTCAGGCACCCTTTGAGGAGCCCAAATCCATCGGAAGGAGATTGGTCACTGACGGGCTTGGGGCCTCCCTTGGGAGCAGGACTGGGCGTTTCCACGG